CATTTAATATGTCAAGGATTGCCTTGGTGAAACTTTTGAAATGAAAGATATTTTTCCTCTCCCCATAGGTTTGTTAGTAAACATAATTAAAAAAGAAGATAGAATAAAAAGACAACAAATAATCATTCGATACAAGATTTATAATGTTAGGTAAGTATGCAAATTTCACAACTATATTATAAGTTTTTAAGTTTTTGATCAACATCAAAACTCGCTATATTAACTCTATATAATGTGTTAAACTACAAGATATATCTATATCAGTATTCACAATTTAAAAAAATTTACTAATAATAAAATGGGAAAAATGTCCTCGAGACGAAGGAAAGTTGCAAGTTAGTAATGGAATTCCTTTCGGAGATGCAAGTCTTTATCAACAACTAGTTGGGAGTCTAATTTATTTGAACAACATGAGATTATTTATTTTTCATTTTGTTAATGTTTGATAGCTCTTACTTCTATTTTTTTATAATTTCAGCCAACTAAATAATTGAATACAATTTGATAAACTTTTAAAGTTTATCTAGCCAATTTGAGTAGTAATGTTTTTCACTCCTTAGTAGTTATCATCATTTTTGCTTTCATTTTTTTTTATCATCATCAATCAACCCCACACCTCGGTGAGTAGTATCTTTATAAATTTGACAAATTGTACTAAATTGATTGAAATAAAAAAAATACATAAGCTCAATGGAACAACTTTTATTTTTATTTTTTCTTGATGAATTAATAAAAACACAAGGTGCAAATAATGGGTTTCATCATTTTTCAATTCAAGTAACTAAAAAAATTCAAAACAAAGACTTTTTTGGAACCGATTTTTTTCTTTTTCATCATATCAACTACCGAATACAAGTTCACCAATATAGAACCGTAAATACTAGAACTTTGAGGATCTTCCCACTATTTTTTCCCCTTACTATCCAAGTGCTTCCTTGAGTTTCCTTCCTAACGCATATGCTAGAGGAGGAGGAACAACATTTCTAAAGGAACGTGGTTTGCACAATAATACTCTATTCTCCTATGTTCTCGCTCCCATTGATCAACGCAGTATGTACATATATATAATAGGGACTCTTATACCAAAAGCACTCCTATTTTTATAGCACTTGTTACAATCAAGAGCTCCAAAAGCTCTCAAACACAATCTATAATTAATTCCATGCATATCACATACAGATCCCATCCGGTTTGGTAATTGACTTCGTGCACTCTCACAAATATCCGATAACCCCCCAAGTTGGAATATAAAGGTTGTGAATACCCAACTTGTGTAAGAGAGAATTGAACCGAGATCCGCCAATCGAACGTGAGTAGAAACATATGAAGGGCGAAAATATCCAGCAAGAATTTTATTTCCTGAAAAAATGATAATCCACTTCAATTTGTTTAGTGCGCTCGTGGAAAACAGGATTCTTGGCAATGTGGAGGGCCATCTAGCCGTCACAAGAAAGGCGTATAGGTTGCGATGAGAAATACCGAGACAGCCGTAAAATGCTTCTCAACCATTTTAGTTCACAAGTAGTGATGGCCATAGATCGGTATTCGACTTCAGCAGACGAGCGAGAAACGAGTATGTTATTTCTCGGTTCTCCGTAAAATAGGCAAATGGCCCAATAGCATAAACCAACCAAGTGAGAGATCTTCGAGTCAATGGGCAACTTGCCCAATCCGAATCACACCACCCATGAGAGTCAAGACCCCGTCTTTCCGCAACATGATACCTTCTCTCGGATTTCCTTTTAAATACCTCACTAGTCTTAACTTAGCATCCCAATGTTTTTGCTTGGGTTGTTGCATGAACCGAGACAATGTATGTACACCATAAGACAACTCGGGTCTAGTAAACCATAAATAGATTAGTCGCCAAATTAAACATTTATATCGTTCGGGATTGGGAAGAAGCCGTCCATCGCCGAGAGCCAAGCGGTGGTTTTGTTCCAAGGGTGTATATGCATATTTAGCCTCAAGTAAGCCATTTTCTTGAATAATATCCAAGGCATATTTTCTCCGACATAGAAAAATCCTAGTGGGAGATCGAGCAACTTTGGCACCGGGAAAATATTTGAGTGTGCCCAAGTCTTTCATATGAAAACATGCATGCATATAAGCTTTAAACCGTCCAATAGTTGCATGATTATTTCCAACTACAAGAAGATCATCCACGTACACCGTAACGACAATATGAACCCCTAGTTCCTATAAGTACAAACAAGGAATAATTAAATAAGGATTGTTTGAATCCATACATCTTGAGAGCATAGGATAATTTTACAAACCAACACCTAGAAGCTTGCTTGAGTCCGTACAATGACTTTCTAAGTTTACACACCATCCGGGGTGAGAAACATTAAAGCCGTGTAGGGGCTTCATAAAGACTTCTTTCCGTAAGTCCCTATGCAAGAAGGCATCGTGGACATCCATTTGATGTAGCTCCCAATTCTTTATAGCAGCCTACCGCTAGCACTACTCGCATTGTTACCATCTTTGCTATTAGAGCAAAAGTCTTTGTGTAGTCAATGCCTTCGACTTGATGATTGCCAAGTATAACTAAACGAGCCTCGAACCTTTCTACCGTGCCATCGATTTTCATTTAATTTTGTAGACCCATTTACATCCAAGGGCCTTCTTCTTAGGTGGTAGAGGCATAATAGTCCAGTGTTTTATTATTTTCCGGAGCACTCACTTTAGCTCACATAGCCTTGCACTACCTATGATCTTTCATCGCTTCATTGTAGGTCGCGGGCTCTCGTTCCTCGTTCAAGTGAGGCAAGAAAAACACGATGTCCCAAAGAAAAGGTATGACTATTCACATAGTGAGCAATAAGATAGGGCGCACCCGAGGATGGAGAAGATGGGGACAACCGCTCAAATGGGCTCAATATCTTGATTGTGTTGGTGGCATAGTCTCGGAGGTAAGAGGAAGGCAAGCTGAGCTTTGCATCCACATCCCATTCGTTCCTCGCTTAAGGTTTACACTAGATTTTATTTGCGTGTCACCCAATGTGATCTCCGGTGATGAAACAAGTTCTCCTAATGCTTTAGTTATCATTTCAAAGCACCCCCTCTCATCATCTTTATTGGTCAACTCGCGACTAGTGCCCCCTCTCCCCTCCCCCTCCCCCGAGACGCCAACACTAGTCACCCTATGGTTATGTTCATCTATGCTCGTCCGGGACCATGACAATTCCTTGGGTATTGCATGATGAACCCGCATCATGTTCATTGGTGTTTGACTTGCTAAAGGGATAGTCGGTTTCAACAAACGCCACATCCCTATACATAATGTACTCTTTTGTCTCTAAATCAAATAATTTCCATCCCTTTTTTCCCATAAGGATACCCAACAAAAATACATTTTCTACTCTTGCTTGCAAATTTATCTCCTTTCCTCTTTTGGTTATAAGCAAAACATAAGCATCCGAATACTCTTAAGTATTTAAGGGAAGGTGTTTGACCATGCAACATCTCATAAGGTGTTTTTCCACCGAGGATATTAAGCCGTCCTATTTATCAAGTATCATGCCGCTAATACACATTCTCCCCAAAAATCAATAGAAAGGTTTGCTTGAAACCTAAGTGGCTCGTGCAATATTCAAAATATGTCCGTGTTTTCTTTTGACTCTTTCGTTTTGTCGTGGCGTTCCAACATAAGATGTTTGAAATAAAATACCTTGCTCCAAGAAATAATTTTTCATGCAAATAAACTCGGTCCTATTATCACTTCTAAAAATTTTAACTTTCTTATCAAATTGCCTTTTAACCAAAGAAAAGAAATTCATAAGCAATCGGGGTACTTCTTTCTTATCACCAAGCAAGTAAATCCAAACACAACGAGAATAATCATCTACTATCATCATGAAATAGTAAGCACCACAAGAAGGACTTTTATATGGACCCCATAAATCACAAGTGGATTAATTGCTAATAGGTTGGAGCGCACCGTCCCATAGATAACATCGTCGAGACCCATAAGAAACCGGTGCACTTTCTCCTCTTCTCTTCGCCATTCCAGCCTAGCCGTGATATCATAGGTGCAACATCCACACCGCGCATTGGTATTTTCTCATTGTTTGCCAACTCATCCCATAAGGTTTTTAATTTTTCGTAATAAGCAACCATCGTCGGACCCTCTTGTTTGTAATCCGCCAACTCGATTTTAGCCGATGAATCCTTAGGCCGTTGATGATTGAAAATCGTTTTTTGATGTCCTCCTACGTGTCTTTGCGTTTTCCACACAAGATATGGTGAAACGCAAACCAAGTTCAATGGTATTTAGAATCCAAGACACTAACATGGATTGCACTATACACCGCTCTTCCATCTCGGGTGAGTCTTCCTTCGACGCTCCAATGGTTTCATCTAGAAAGCCCCATTTTCTTCGAGCATGCAGAGACATTCTCATGGCACGTGCCCATTCTTCGTAGTTCTCCCTCGAAGTTTTACTTGGGTAATCGATTCCTTGGGTTGTCGTTCGAGTTCGGATCATATAGAGATGGTGTTTTCTTCACCATCTTAAATTTTTCTTGTTTAGGAGACTCTTCTTCACGAGCCTCCTCTCTACGAGCCTTTTCTTCACAAGTAGCTATTCTATATGCCCTCACCACTCATTGTCAATTAGAACCTAGAGGCTCGATACCATAAAGGAACATGGTTTGCACAATAATACTCGTCCTCCTCTATTCCGCCCCCTCGATCAACGCAGTATGTACATATATGCAGCAGGGACTCCTATACAAAAAGGACTCCTATTTTTACAGCACTTGTTACAATCCGGAACTCCTAAAGAACTCAAACACAATCTATAATTAATTCCATGCATATCATATACAGATCCCATCCGGTTTGGTAATTGACTTCGTGCACTCGTCACAAATATCCGATTAATTTCCAATTTGTCGATGCTTTTGTTGAACGTTACCAAAAACTCGATAGCTATCCGGGAACCCCCGGGGTTAAAGAAATAAGAAAAATGAAGAAAATGATAAACCAGAAACCATCTATCCGTGTGGAAAACCTTCAATATCCACTCTACAAGTAGATAACTAGAAGTAGAGAAGGAGCATGGTAAGACCAAGAAGAACAAGGTAGACGATTGCTTCAAGTACTGGCTACCTGCTGTCTCTTTATGATATTGCTTTCACAATTACTTTACGATAGGAAATAAAAAAAACTAGGGAAATTGAACTTACTTGAGATCGTGCACATTCACGAACAGTAAGAATCCTGTCCTGCTTAGGGTGAAAGCACATCCCAACCTTACCCATCAGCTGAGGATCTGTTGTTGAAGTTGGGAAGTTTCCTTCCCATGCCAACCTTCCAAATAGCCCCTTCCACTGATTGTGTCGTTTAGCTGTGTTTGGTAGGCACCATGGTATCAAATCATCCATTTGCCCAGTAGACAATTTGACCTGCATATCATAACATTGCATATAACCATATGCATTAGGTCTATATATATATATACCTTGTAAGATCTCAATAAGGGGTGCTTGTACCTTTTCATTTGGAAGATCACGCCAATCAGCACCTGGCCACTTTGGAATCTTCTTACATCTAATAAGATTCAGCTCATTCATTTCTTGTCATATATGGTCAGTCAAGAAACCCATGTCTCCTCGAATTTCCTTTTGAAACCAAGAGATAGGATCATTTCCGTACTGCAAAACAAAAAGGTTGCTAATAATGCCTGTGATCCTATTATTTTAGCAGTAAGAAGTCTCGGAAGAAAATTTTAGCATCTTTTATATACCTCCAAATTTGTCTTAGAAGCACCATTCCCTACATCAGGGAGATCTCCAATTGTATCTTTGACAGTTATTGCTCTGAAAGGGGCTCCACAAGTGGTACTTCTAACAGCAGCATATTGTGATTTCTCAGACAAAATGATCTTTAACTCTGGCACAGCAAAAACATGCATTGGCTCTGGCCATTCTGGGAGTATCGCATCAGGGAGGCTGCCCGTATAAAGGCTCGTTTGCGAGACTGAGAAACTCCGTATGCTCCCGCCTCCAAAATACCAAATCTCACCTAATCGCAGTCATATTCACATGCAGACACAGTTACAAACAATAAATGTTCCACATTCAAAAATGGAAGTCCTCAACCATTGTTGATTTGTTGTTTCCAATAGCATAGCAATATCTACCTGATAACCCATCTGAAGAAGAGAAGCAATAGTTAAACGAAAAGTCTTTCCTTTATTGAAAGATATGAAGTTCCTGACATTCTCTAAGAGGAAATACTTCGGGCAGAAATAATCAGCGAAGGATAGGAATGCTAAGATCATCTCACATTGAACTTTACTCCAAGTGCTCTGATTAAACCTATTCATTCAAGAGAAGCCCTGTAAAGATACGTTACTTTTTTGAGATGTTAGATGCCTGAGGTTGGTGCAAAGAAAGGCCAAAAATACCTGGCAAGGAGGCCCTCCATTGATGAAATCCACCTACCCTGGCAATGGCAAACCATCGATCACCTTCGCGCCAAGTGATGAAGCCACTTCAGCAGCCTCAGAAGTTGAAATACAGTCATCTGCATCTCCACATTTCTCCATCACAGCCCTACATTACAATCCATAATGAGTAATGAAAAAAAATAAAAGAAAAGTTTCAAAAATAATACAACCACTTACCTGAGTATAACATTGCAATTATTAGTAAACATCAATGACTTTGCATGATTGAGTTTAAATGCTTCACCAGCAGGCTCTTCATACTCAATAGCCCACTTGGTTGATGAGACACCTGCAATGGTAACAGTAGCCAATTGTAAATTATTTAACAGTAGGCCTAAATCTCAACTATACTCCAAGTGAAAGATATTAAGAGATGAACACTACTAGCTTGCTACAATCCCTCAGACAAGCCACCACAACCAGCAAAAATATCCATTGTGGCTAAACAGTTATCTCAAGATGCTTCCTTTTGTTTGTCAGCTTCTATATCACTTTCTCCTTCTTTACACTTTCCTTTTCTCTTTCTACATGCAACATCACTTTCTCTACTCACAACTGAAAACTTCAATTTGATTTGAGCTGGTAGCTGTCCACAATGGACTAAACGATTACTTATAACTCACAAATAGCAAAGTCTAACAGCAAACATCATAATGGTCCAGAAAATCAATATGAAGCGCTCAGGTGCCTTTGATGGCTTCAGAAATTAACTAAAATGACAATTTACCATTAACTGATGGACTCAGTTAGCATTTAACATTATGGGAATAAATAAAAGACAAATCACCTGCTTGAGGGACCCTTTAGAAGGATCATACATTTTCTTGCAGAATAAGATATGATCAAAGATTGCAGGGGCACTGCATGTTGGAATATCATTTTCCTTTCTCACTTCACGTTTCCCTTCAATTGTGTCGACAGATAACAAATGTGTTTCTTCGCTGTAATATATCTGAAATTAAATCATTAGAACTAATTATGAGTTAGAAAGAAGCAGCAAAGTTTATATTGTAAAAAGCTTAGTAGGTACTAAAGCGAGAGCTGGAAACTTAGAATTGCAAGATTGACAATTATTTATATCGATAATTAAGCAAAAACCAACAAATTGATGGTGCTAGAGCAGTTGCTAGAGTTCCCTTGGCATAAATTAGCCAGAAAAATTTGTATGGGACTATAAATGCCAAAATAATACGGTCTAAGTGTGATTACAGCATCCATAAAGCGGTAAAACATAATTAAAAATAGCAAACATTTTTTTAAAGGTGCTTTTACCTCGCGAATATCAGAACAATATCCCTTCTTCAGTGAAATATCATCTGGTCTGAAAAATCTTTGTACTTTGATTTTGGTGGATCTTATTTCAGCTTGTTTTGGTTCCTTTGGAACAACCTCCAACAACTGGCACACAACATAAGGCTTCAACCCAACATTTTTTCCACCCTTAAAAGTTTCATTCTCCTTCCTTTCCGCAGCAAATTGCTGAGGCCTCACATAGACAAAATCATGGACAGAGTACTCAGTTCCCTTGAATAAAAATCCTGTCTGAGAAGAATTCACTTTGAAAATATCCTTCTCCACTTCAACTGTTTTTAAGTTGCAAGAGTGGCAGACACAAGAGCCAAGACCAATATTATCAAACGGGAGAGTGAAAAAAGCACCCCTTTCCGGACAGTACAAGCTTTGACAGTAATATTCTAGTGGCAATCCTTTATTTTTCCTCTCTTCTGCCTTTTCCCGATCAATTTTATCGGCACTGGTGTTATCTTTCCTGTGATGATGTCCCCATGGCCTTTTTCGAACTTCCAGACTAATTGCCTGCTTAACATCCCGTAGTTCATAATTCATGCACTCATTTGTTAAGAAAACCTCTCTATCATTGGCAGTGTTGCCAAGAACTGTCTCAGATCCCAGTTGCATCATTCTCCCATGAAACATCTTGCTTCCACTTCGTGTTTCAAACATGTACTCAACAAAATAGATGGCAGGAAGTTCATCTAATTCATCAACCTACACTAAGACACCAGCCCCCACCACAATGACCTCTCCACAAAAAATGGCTCGCTTGTGAATGGCTTCTCCAGAAGATGTTTTGCTTATAGGATTCCCATCCCACTTTACTTCGTTTTGCGAATAATGGGATTTAATAGGTTCGAACACTGAGTCAGGTTTTAGTGTTTTCTCTACCACCTCCTCTTTATCATCATCTTCATTTTCATCCTGATCTTCAACTTCATCTTCTTCTTTCACTTCAGAATCAGTTCCCTCTTTTAAATCCTCTGGAGAATAGTTGTTTGAATAATATTCCCCCCAAATTCTGTTGATCAGCTTTGTTGTTGTTGCCTGCATAAACTTCCTCTTGGATGATGCTGGAGCTACAGAATCCATTACTGTTCGAGGATTCAAATTGGATTGACACTTTTGTACAACTGCTTTTTTGTTTACCATCCACTTAGTATGGTGCCTGTCCTCCATTTTCTGAGTCAGACCGACCACAAAAGCATATTTCTTGATCTTCCGATCTGGAAACTCAGTAAAATACTGTAGTATTATCTGTCCATGCACAACCACATACCTCTCAACAACTGCTGGATCAGAAGAAATATGAGCAAGATGATCCTTCTTGAACTCAGACACTTTTCGTATTACATCTGCAAAAGAAAACCATGATACTCGACTTTGTTCCTTCAACAATGTAAGGATGCTTCTTGCAAGCCGAACTGTTTTTAGGACTGGCTTGTACCAGGAAGCATATTGTTTTGAAGGCTTCCCAAGTCTATACCTGAAGATATTGAGAAAGAGAAAACACTCATTAATATCATGAGAAAATAAAATTATTAACTTGCAACACCAGAAATCTTCATTAGATAAAACTCTAAGTAACTGTGTTTCTTCCTGATATGTGTTAGTAACCAGCAACCAACTTAATCAATGTGTCTAGTCATATCGTTTCAATATATTTACAGTGAGAAGACTGTAATGCCCATAAAACCAAGAACTGACTTAATTGGAGTTTTTAAATGAGTAATTTAAAAGCAATGAAAAGAAAGAAACAAAAAGGGAAGGATTGGCAGAAACCAAAGGAAGGAAAAAACGGGAAAGGAGGGAGAGAAAGAAAAAGAAGAAAGGAAAGAGAGGAGAAGAAAGGAGAGGAAGAAGAAGACTCACCGACGATCACCCACTCCAGATGACGGCTCCGGCGACGGTAGTGGTGGAGTGACTCGAGTAAGAAGAAGAAAAATAAGGATAAAAAAGAGGTGAAATAAGGAAGAAGGAAAAATATTTATTAAGTTAGTTTTTGAATTTTTTTTGAATGTTTTAGTTAATTATAAACTTAATTAGGATGAGTTATAGGTAATTTAGTGAATTTCATTTTGAATTCAGAATTTGAATTAGGGATTAGGTTTAATTAAAATTAGGGTTTATGTTAGCTTAGGGAAATTTGAGAAAAGTGATCTGAATGGGTTAATTAGGATCCAATTAAGCTTGAATTTTAATTTATTTTTGTCTAATTATTGTTATTATTGATGATGTAAATTTATGATGATAGAGGTAATAGAGGATTTGGTGGAAGAAGCTACTTAAAGAAGAGACAATTATAATTTGGGGTATTCCTCTAGATTAGAGGTAAGTATAGCATATATTATGAGTTTTTATTATCATATATGTATATATTGCTTGTGAAGTGAAAAAAATGATTATATGGATAAATGCTTCATTAGTACAAATAATTATATATGAGTTAAATTATTTTAGTATAGGTGTTCTTACTATAAGCTAAATGAATTGAATTAGTATGTTGCCATATGAATTGTGGTTATTAAAGAGAATATTGATACATTAAATGATATATATACATGTTGATATGATGATCATTTGCATTAAATGGAATTGTGTGATTGCTATGTACTCGAATGAGAATAATGATATTGATGACTTGAAAGAAGTCTATACGGGACTAACTAAGCTAACGGGGTTATAGTTAGCCTAGGTGCACCTAGTATTGCCGACTAGGGAATGGCCGCAATGCTTCCCTCGAGTTTAACCCTGCGGGGGCTAGAGTTTACGATTACCCTCGCGAGGGCTATACTTACCCTTTCGAGGACCAAAGGAATAGACAATTCCGCATAGAGTGATTTCAAGAAATTATTATGCTATTATTAATTGTTAAGAAAGAAAGAAAAAGAAAACGTTATTGATTGCTTGCTTGGTTGCAAATCATGTATGATAGGTGCATTGACATAATTGTATATATAGCGATTTATAATATGTGTTATGCTTACCGAGTTTTAAAAACTCACCCCCCAACCTCAAATATTTTATAGATAATACGAAGCTAAATAACGGATACGTAAGCTAGATCATAGAAGGAGGACGATAGATTTTATGGATTTGAAGGTACTACCCGAATATTATTTTACTTCCTCCGGTATAGGACATGGTTGTTTCAAATTTGTATTCATTGTCCATTTTGGAATTGTAATTAGTTATTATGTATTTTATTTCACTTAGTTGCTCTCGTGGTAGCATCACCAAATCCAAGGATAGCTAGTTAAGGGTCTCCATGTTTTGTATTTGGATGGTTAAATGGTGATTTATAAATTTGGTCATGTTAAATATTGGATTATGTGTATTTTTGTCAATTTAGTAAATACCGAGATTTATGAGAAAGTGTGGATGTCCAAATGGAGGGACTTGATGATGATTGAGAATTGGTGAAGATGATTTGGAAGTGTACATATATTGTGATTTTTATGTAGGATATATATTATTTTTGGGACCCTTCAATTATAAGGGAAATGCTATCGAAATTTTGATAGAAAATAGAGAAAGGATTAAGGCTTACGTAGCTCGTGGTGGGTCACCCCACCCCGAGCTACATGCTGGTCGCAGCTCGCCGGTTCGGGTCGTGACAAAGTTGGTATCGGAGCAATGGTTTAGGCTTGGTAGATATGCTTTAAGGTTGAACTAATAAGTAAGTTATAGGATAAGCCTTTGGTTTTGCATCGCTGAGCTATAGGTAGTTATAGGTTTCTAAATTGTCTTTGAGTTATTCATTGTATCTTAGTTTCGCGTAACATTTCTTATTATAGTAGGTTAAGTATACTCGTGTATTTGTTATAAAATGATATTGATTAGAACTCTTTTGTTACTAGATGGCAAGGACTAGAGGCGGTAGAGGTAGCGAGGGTGGAAGAACCCCTAATGTAGGTCGTGGTAGGGGTGCCGAGCCCCATGTACAACACCCGGCCTAGCTATCCCACATGTTAAATGGGTAGCAAGCGTAGTAGACGAGATTTTATGATAAACGAGAGAGAGGCAGAGGAGGAAAGAGTGATCGGGTCCGCAGCCACTCTAGGGGCATAGGATGTTGCCCAAAACTTGAGTTTATTAATGTAGATAGTTACACGGCATGAGAGGCTATATGCACAAGCGAGGATGGCACCATCCTCTTCATATGTTAATGAGGATGGAGTGACATTATCCGAGTTTTTGAAAATTAAGCCGCTAGGGTTTAAAGAAAAATCCGATGAGGATCCTCATTTGTTTCTAGAGGAGATAGATGTAAGATGTAAGGCATTGGGTTGTGATTCTCGGAAGACAGTGTAGATAGTAGAGTTCGTTTGATCGGGACGACCAAATGCTCGGTTTAAGACCGAGGGATTTTCTAATTAGATTTGGGAGGATTTCGGTAAGGCTTTCATAGATAGATTTCTACCGGATAGTGTTAGGCAACAACGGGCATTTGAGTTTGAGAGATTAAGACAAAATGTTTTCATGATCGTTACCGAATATGATGCACAATTTATGGAGTTGAGCCGATATGCTCCTTACCTAGTCAGCATAGAGGAGCTAAAGATGTCTCGATTTATAGGTGGTTTAGTGCCACGACTTCGTGCACTTTTAATTGCCTGCAAGGGTGAACACCTATGCAAAGATCGTAGAGTGTGCTCGATTAATACGAGTTATCTCGGGTGGATTGTCCGGAAGAGCGAGTCCTCGACCTAAAAGGAATAGAGGTGAAGGGCGGTCCAATGGCCATCGAGGCCAAGGTAGTGGACTTAGTGGATTTTATAAGGGTTCGAGCCATTAGGGCTAAATGGGCCAACAGGGCTTACGGAGGGGATACCACCGGAGGTTTGGAACGTCTATAGATAGGAGTCGGGGATCTATGAGCTACAGCCGACGAGGCTTAACTCGGGTGAGCCGAATACTCGCATTCCTCTTCATTCCGGGTAAAATACTCACACTCCTTCTCATTGTCCAACTTGTAATAGGATGCATTGGGGCTAGTGTAAGGTTGGACGAGCCGAATGTTATCGTTATGTGCAAGAGGGTCATTTTGCTAGAGAATGTCCATCCTTTTTGTCACAAGATACTTTCTCACGGGGACGTGCACCTACTTCATCCGATCGAGTTATGCTCGTCGATCGGACCGATGGGGCCGGTGGACGAGGTTTAGGAGGTAGAGGTTCCGGTGGTAGAGGACCGAAGCAATCTGGTAGAGGTCGATTACAAACCGGTAAAGGTCGTGGTGTAGGGGTAAGAGATCAAGGTTTTGTAGGGCATGGACAAGCTAGGGTGTATGCCTTGACTAGACAAGATGCACAAGCTTCTAATGCGGTGGTGTCGGGTATACTTCCTATTGATTCTCTTGATGCACGAGTATTATTTGACATCGGGGCTACTCACTCATTTATATCCCCATTCTTAACCAAGAGGTTAGGTAGACAATCGGAGAGATTAGAGGAGTCTTTAGTAGTGTCCACTCCGGTAGGAGATAGTGTAGAGGTAAATTTGACGTATCGGTCTTGCAAGGTTAAAGTAGGAGATAGAGATCTTCCAATGGATCTCTTATTGTTTGAGTTGGTGGACTTTGACGTAATATTAGGAATGGACTGGTTGTCTCAATGTCATGCATCTCTTGACTCGTAATAGGAAGATAGTGAACTTTAACATGCTAGATGAGTCGAATTCCAGTTTCGGAGAGATAGAAGTTTAGCTCCATATAACCTTATATCAATACTTAGTGCTAGGCGTATGTCGTATAAGGGATGTTGTGGTTACTTAGCGTTTGTAAAAGATGTAAGCTCCGTGGAGCCAAAGATGAAAGATGTGCTAGTTGTGAATGAATTTTCAAACGTGTTTCCGGAGGAATTGCCGGGGTTACCTTTGGAGAGGGAGATAGAGTTCCGTATAGATGTTGTGTTTGAAACCGAGCCAATATCAATGCCACCTTATAGGATGGCACAAGTTGAGCTTAAGGAGCTCAAAGAGCAATTACAAGATTTTCTTGATAAAGGGTTTATTAGGCCTAGCATGTCACCTTGGGGTGCACTAGTGCTGTTTATAAGGAAGAAGGATGGGTCTTTACGCCTATGTATTGACTATAGGTAGTTGAATAAGGTCACAATCCATAATAAGTATCCGTTGCCTAGAATTGATGATCTATTTGACCAGCTTGCAAGTGGTCTCAATTTTTTTCCAAGATAGACTTGAGATTAGGATATCATCAATTACATATAAGAAAGGATGATATCCCAAAAACAGCATTCGAAGTAGATATGGACACTATGAATTTCTTATGATGTCTTTTGGACTCACTAATGCTCCTACAAGCATTTATGGATCTCATGAACCGAGTATTCGGGTCATTCCTTGACGAGCTTTATGATAGTGTTCATAAATGATATTTTGGTTTATTCCAAGAGTAAGGAAAAGCATGAGCAAGCACTCGCAAATGGTACTTCGGACCTCGAGGGAGCATCAGTTGTATGCCAAATTTCCAAATGTGAATTTTAGCTAGATAGTGTTGGTTTTCTAGGACATATAGTGGACCCAAAGAAAGTTGAGGTCGTTACTCACTAGCCAAGACCAACATCCGTTATCGAGATTCGTAGTTTTCTCGGTTTAACTAGATATTATAGGCATTTTGTGGGGAACTTCTCACGGATAGTCGCTCCATTGACAAAGTTGACTCAAAAGAAAGTGAAGTTTGAGTGGATAGATGCATATGAGCGAGCTTTCAAGAGCTCAAGACTCGTTTAACTACGGCTCCAAGTGTTAGCACTACCATCGGGTTCGATGGGTATGTGGTTTATTATGAAGCATCAAGAATTGGATTAGGATGTGTGCTAATGCAACATGGGAGAGTTATTGCCTATGCTTCTCGTCAATTAAAGAAGCATGAGTAGAATTACCCTACTCATGATTTGGAGATGGCAACGAATTATCTTCGCCTTGAAGATATGGCGATATTATTTATATGGAGAGACTTGTGAGATTTACACGGATCACAAGAGTTTAAAGTATATTTTCGAGCGAGAGGACTTGAATTTGAGGCAAAGACGATGGATGGAGTTGCTAAAAGAGTATGATTGTTCTATATTGTATCATCCAGGAAAAGTAAATGTGGTAGCAGATGCATTGAGTAGAAAGTCAATTGGGAGTTTAACCCATATAGCAATTGAGAGGAGGTCATTGATCTAAGAATTATATGAGTTACATGATCGGGGATTCAATTAGAGATTAATGATAGCGAAATATTGTTAGCTCACATAAATATACGACCAAGTGCTACTAGATTGGATCAAAGCAAATCGGACTAAGGATAAGCAATTAGAAAAGATTAGAGATGGAGTTATTAAGGGTGACAGGAAGGAGTTTAGGGTGGATAGTGATGGTGTACTCCGACTTAGGGTTAGGCTATGTGTTCCCGATGTGGAGGATTTGAGGAGAGAGATTATGGAAGAAGCACATCGATCTACATACATGGTACATCCCGGTTCAACTAAGATGTATCAAAATTTGAAAGGAGTATACTTGGTGGAGTGGAATGAAGAGAGACATTGCAAATTTTATGTCTAAATGTCTAGTGTGCCAACAAGTGAAGTTTGAGCACCAAAAGCCTTCGGGATTACTTCGGGAGTTGCCTTTACCGGAATGGAAGTGAGAAAGGGTAACAATGGATTTTGTGGTAGGGTTGCCTTGTACTTGCTAAGGGTTATGACTCAATATGGGTGATTGTGGATAGGTTGATGAAGTCAACTCACTTTATTTCGGTGAAGACTACTTACACAGGTAGCTCGGTATGCTCAACTATATATTGATAAGATAATGAGCCTTCATGGAGTACATGTATCTATAGTGTCGGATAGGGGCACACAATTTACATCACATTTTTAGAGAAAACTCCAAGAGGCATTGGGTACTCGACTTGACTTTAGTATTGATTTTTATTCGCAAACGGATGGTCGGTCGGAGTGTACAATCCGGACTACTAGAGGACATGTTGAAAACATGTGTTATAGATTTCGAGGGTAATTGGGAGCATCATTTTCCTTTGATTGAGTTTGCTTATAATAATAGTTATAAGTCTAGCATTGAAATGGCTCCATATGAGGCTTTATACGACGGAAGATATAGGTCTCATGTATGTTAGGAAGAAGTAGGGGATAGAAAGTCTGTTGGGTCCGTAAATGGTACAGTTGACTACGGAAAAGGTAGCATTGATCGGGGAACGTCTTAAGACGACTCACGGTAGGCAAAAGAGTTATGCGGATTGAAAGAGAAAACATCTTGAATTCGATGTTGGTGATCATGTATTTCTTAAGGTGTCACCAATGAGGGGGATCATGCAGTTTGGGAAGAAAGGAAAGTTGTCTCCTAGATATATTGGACCATTTGAAATATTAGAGAGAGTGGGAGTAAGTGGCTTATAGATTGGCTCTTCCACCAAACTTTTCGAGAGTCCACCTAGTATTTCATGTATCTATGTTGAGAAAGTATGTGACGGATCTTTCACATGTAATTGAACCACAAACTGTTAAGCTAAGTGAGGATTTAAGTTATGTGGAGCAACCAATTGCAATTGTGGATCGTCGAGTTAGAAAACTTAAGTCTAAAGAGATCATTTTAGTTAAGGTTCAATGGAGAAATCATTCGTTAAGGAGGGCACGTGGGAATCGGAAGATGAAATGCGAGATAAATATTCACATCTATTTCAAATTCATGGTATGTAGTCATTTTTAAAATTCGAGGACGAATTTTTTTTTTAGGAGAAGAGAATGTAATGCCCATAAAACCAAAAGCCGACTTAATTGGGGTTTTTAAATGAAGGGCATTAGGGTAATTTAAAAGCAAAGAAAAGAAAGAAACAAAAAGGGAAGAATTGGCGAGAAACCAAAGGAAGGAAAAAACGAGAAAGGGGGAGAGAAAGAAAAAAAGGAAAGAGAGGAAGAAGAAGACTCACCGACGACCACCCACTCCGTGACGAGCTCCGACGACGGCAGTGGTGGAGTGACTCGGGTAAGAAGAAGAAAAATAAGGATAAAAAAGAGGTGAACTAAGGAAGAAGGAAAAATATTTATTAAGTTAGTTTTTGATTTTTTTTGAATGTTTAAGTTAATTATAACCTTAATTAGGATGGGTTATAGGTAATTTAGTGAATTTCATTTTGAATTAAGAATTTGAATTAGGGATTAGGTTTAATTAAAATTAGGGTTTATGTTAGCTTAGGAAAATTTAGAGAAAGTGAGTGAATGGGTTAATTAGGGTCCAATTAAGCTTGAATTTTAATTTATTAGTGTCTAATTATTGTTATTATTGATGAATGTAAATTTATGATGATAGAGGTAAGAGAGGATTTGGTGGAAGAAGCTACTTAAGGAAGAGACAATTATAATTTAGGGTATTCCTCTATATTAGAGGTAAGTATAGCATATATTACGATTTTTTATTATCATATATGTATATATTACTTGTGAAGTGAAAAAATGATTGTATGGATAAATGCTTCATTAGTACAAATAATTATATATGAGTTGAATTATTTTAGTATGAGTGCTCTTACTATGAGCTAAATGAATTGAATTGGTATGTTGCCATATGAATTGTCGTTATTAAAGAGAATATTGATACATTAAATGATATATATACATGTTGATATGATGATCATTTGCATTAAATGGAATTGTGTGATTGCTATGTACTTGAATGAGAATAATGATATTGATGACTTGAAAGAAGTCTATGCATGACTAACTAAGCTAACGGGGTTATAGTTAGCTCAGGTGCACCTAGTATTGCTAGCTAGGGAATGGCCGCGAGTGCTTCCCTCGAGTTTACCCCTACGGGGGCTAAAGTTTACGAGTTACCCTTGCGAGGGCCATAGTTACCCTTTTGAGGGCCAAAGGAATAGATAGTTTTGCATAGAGTGATTTCAAGAAATTGTTATGCTATTATTAATTGTTAAGAAAGAAAGAAAAAGAAAATGTTATTGATTGCTTGCTTGGTTGCAAATCATGTATGATAGGTGCATTGGTATAATTGTATGTATAACGATTTATAATATGTGTTATGCTTACCGAGTTTTGAAAACTCACCCCCAACCTCAAATATTTTGTAGATAATACGAAGCTAGATCATAGAAGAAAGACGATAGATTTTCTAGATTTGAAGGTACTACCCGGATATTATTTTGCTTCTTCCGGTATAGGACATGGTTGTTTCGATTTGTATTCATTGTCCATTTTGGAATTGTAATTAGTCATTATGTATTTTATTTCACTTAGTTGCTCCACTGGTAGCATCACCAAATCCGGGGATAGCTAGTTAAGGGTCTCCATATTTTGTATTTGGATGGTTAAATGGTGATTTATAAATTTGGTTATGTTAAATATTGAATTATGTGTATTTTTGTCAATTTAGTAAATACTGAGATTTATGAGAAAGTGTAGATGTCCAAATGGAGGGACTTGATGATGATTGAGAATTGGTGAAGATGATTTGAAAGTGTACATATATTGTGATTTTTATATAGGATATATATTATTTTTGGGACCCTTCAATTATAGGGGAAATGCTGCCAAAATTTCGATAGGAAATAGAGAAAGTATTAAGGCTTACGTAGCTCGTGGTGGGTCACCCCACCCCGAGCTACGTGCCGGTCGCGGCTCGTCGGTTCGGGTCGTGACAAAGACGCATTTGATTGGCAAACAAGATTGTAAGAATCTAGTTAAAATGATCGGAAGCAAGGTCAAGAGACAGCGAATTATTTAGTATATGCATAAAAGATTGTGTCTCTCTGTGTTTGTGTTATGTGTAAGTATGTGATAAACAACAATACGAGAATGTATGTACAATACCAGGCCATGTCCGTGCGCACAGATATAAAAATCATTGACGATCCAAACTCAATTATCCACTCCTTTATCGCACTCAAAAATATTGGCAAACCCATTTCATCCGGAGCCTCCGAATCCGTAGAAGAAGACTGATCAGGATCACCATCAAGACAGAATCCACTTCCATCATCTTCAGTCATACAACCTGATCCAAAGATGGTGACATCAATATCTTCACAAGGTTTCATTGGAAGAAGCTCCAAAGAAATCAACCTTGAGTCAGAGTTATGAAGTGACCAGTTATGAAGCATTTTTATAGGGAGGTCATCAGGGTGGTCAATTACATCATCACTTGCAACAGCTATATACTCATCGGTTTCTTCATTAGAGTGTTTGTAAAACGCAGGCAGAGGGTAATCATTTGCAATCTCATCTTCATTAATTTTGATGTAGATTGTGTTTGATGCACAAGCGGAACCCCTACTTTTCTTCTGCCTCGTAGTAAAGTGCCAATACTTTTCTTCTTGCAACAATCTTGCTAACTTTGCACCCTCGTCTTCCTCAGCTATGGTGCAGGATTGGTTAGACTGATTCGCAATAGCACCATCCACAAATTTTGGACCAATCACCAAGTTCCCACCATGAGGTTGCTGCTTTTGCAAGCAGAAGGCTTCCATGATTGCGACCCTCGTCTCTCGAGGCAACAATAACAGGCAAGTCTGCAAACTTCTATTCGTTCTTCTTTAATGTCTTGTCTAGGCTAATTATTTGGCGATATATAAATTCACCCTGAGAAATGACGAAATTCTTGATAGAAACAGCACCAGAAAAACACTTGCTTCCACTCATAGACCGCACAACCCCCGCAAGCAACTCATCAAGGGTGAAATCAGGGTCCCTCCTGAAAGTCTTGACAGTTTCTTGTACACCTCAATACAAACAAGGGCCTTCTGAAAGAAATGATCGAAGAACTTCTTGTAGCCACTTGCAGGCTTAATGCAATCATAATCCGCAATTTCTGTGGAAAGCCAAATAAACGGGGAGCCATCTTCGTAACCAGAGATGTCCCATGTTTCTATCCTTCCGAAGCCTTCACACCTAACGCTCATTTCTTTTTCCTTGTCAAGGCTCTCCTCAAGAGGTAATATAATACCAGATATAAACATATTATCAACTTCAATCATCTCCAAGGCCTGTGGGGTGCCGTTTGCATCATGCGCAACAAAATCAATCAATCTCCTGTTAGGGCGACCATCTTCTTGTCCTTGAGTCAAGCAAAGAGCTAAAATCTCTTCATTGGCAAGTTGCTCTTTCTTTGATTCAACAACAGAAGACTTTTCTTCACGCAAACGTATAGATTTCTCCTGGAAATCTTTGCATGCAGCAGCTCTCTTAGGCCTTTTCGAAGAACCACCACCACCACCACCAGGCTCTTCCTTGTTGGTATCAAAGAAATTTCTCGTCTTTTCTTTTGGGCTTAGTACTGAAGATTTCTGTTTCCCTTTGTTCTTCTTCATAGCAACAGCAAAGTTCAAAAGTTCAGAACTGATGAAGCAAAAAGGTTAAGACTTTTGAGTGTGGTATGTCCTCCTGTGTAGTGCCCTATTCCCAATCAACCAATCAAAACAAAGTAATTAATAAAACTTTCATTACAAGATAGGCAGAGTTAATTATAATTTAGTCACTGTAATTTATCAAAACAAAGTAATTAATACATGTGACATAAAAAATAATTAAAATATTTTGACTAGGGTTGATTATATATGCTCAATTTAATACTAGTATTTTGTTTCCTATCAATTTGTTCATATTACTTACTTTTTTCATTTATTATTATTTCTTAATAAAGAATGGAAATGACAGGAAATGAATGGAAATGATTAATTTATAAATGAATTTAAAAACATAAAATAAAATATTTAATTACTAAAATAATGAGAACTAATTAATTAGTTTTGATAAACTACAGGGACTAAGTTGAAATTAAATCAACATTGGCAAAGAACAGACCAACCAAATGGAGAAGGTTAATAATGTCTGTACAAATGGCAATATGCATGCATAAAGTACACGTGGCAAATGGGAATAGGACTCGATACAATCAAGGGCATTCACTATATTACTTATTATACACGAAAGAAATCTAAAACCCTGATTTGCTTACATATCCCAAATTAATGATGAACAGATTTCCTGACTGTACACCACAGATTTTTATGTCTTGGGAAAAAAAAAAAACCCCGATAACTTGATGAATTGTAATGATTGTACAGAAATGAAATCAAATGTTTGTGAATGGATTTTAACTATTAGCTTTGCCTTTGACTACTTGGATAATGTATGTGTAATACTCCACAAAGAAAATAATATAAAAAAAAGTGAAAAACCAACCATAATTGACAATCCAATCATCAAACATGAAATAGATTGAGATTAATCTGATGAATGCCAAGGTAGAGTAGGGTACCTAATGATGATGAAGAAAAAAAGCTATACCAACCGGGTCATTTGTTATTGCGGTATCGTAAGATCCCATCTTTCTTACCCTAATTATTAAGTAACAGCCTTTGCTTTGCGCCTGTTTTATGGTGGCCTGAGTTAAGCTGGATGGGTTTACAAGGAAAGTACAGTGAGCGGGAAACGAAAAGATGTGTGATTTGGCTCTGGCATTGGCACCTATTGGTTCCAGAAACTGCCATCCCTTTCTCCTCTTCTTGCCTTGCCTTGGCAACGGATTTACAGCCGGGTTTGTGGTTCATTAGATTTACAGCAAAAGCCCATTATATTGTTTGACAGTCGATCCCTTCTCCTGCGTTCCTTCCCGCTAGGGATGACAATTTGCCCCATCCCGATGGAGCCTCACCCCGCCCCGATCAACGCGATGATTCCTTATATTGATCGGGAAATGGGGTGAGATGGGATGGGGCACCTTGTATTTATTTTGAACGAGAATAGGATAGGGATGGCATTTGCCCGTTTGTCTCATTTGCTTCATTTCATCCCTAAATTTATAATTATAGTTTATATAAAATTTATGATTATTGACTTTTAGGGTTTATTTTCTATATAAACTATCATTTTTTTATTATAGTTTGAAATTTGATAATTGAATAGGACAAGACAAGATGAAAAAAAAAAAAAAAAAGGATATCAGTGTCCTGCAAGAATCTATATCCATGTTTGGGATAGGAATGGTATTACAATTTTATTTCGCATGGAAGACGAGGCGAGGATGGAGCAAAATTTTCAGGGACGAGGCAGGGCAGGGATGGCCCCCATTGCCATTCCTACTTCCCGCTCTATATACCCTCAAGTCCTCAAACCCTGCCTTGGCTTCGCTTTTGGCAGGCAATGGAACTGATCGAATTGGCTTGTTGGTCAAGGAAACCCAACCTTTTTGTATTCAGATTTGTCAAAAGAAGACTGAGCTTTTTGGTGGACGAAACTAGGAGAAAAATGGCTGCCCAGAGAAAACATCAAGCATCTTACCTCTGCAATTTAATGTCAACAGGTTAATTGGGTACCCCTTCCTTCCCCACTTCATCCAATTTTAGCAGGGTCTAAATCCAACCAAACCTTAAAAGGCTGTATGTATATTCTACTTCACCATTTGTCTAAACCCACCCATATATAAGTAGCAGTTTCCCAGATATCAAGTTTAACAAATGTGGGTTCAATTTCAAGATATCCACCACACCTCTCTGATACTATGTTTAAACAACTTGACGCCAGGTTTCATGGCTTCTTCCTCTTCTTCTCTCTCTCTCTCTCTCTCTCTGCTTTGCTTTACCATGATGATGTTTCTGCTGCTGATATATAATGGAAAAAGTTTCTTGATAGAACAACTGACATTGCTTTTAGGACGCTGCTTAGCTGCATATTGGTTTCTCGATATCAAGTAGCCAAAAACACTCCACAAACCTAATTTTATATATATATATATATATATATATTACTTGAAATAAGCATATCTAATTAGTAGTTAGTTGATTCTTTTTCCTACTCGGAACTCTCTCCCTTTATCTCCATAACCAACAATATTTTAAACTCGAGTCCTCCTCTTTCTACCATGATTCTTTGTCTTCCATTAACATTACTAAAATAATATTTTCATTAAGTAATATTTAATGTTAAATTTATTTATATATTGTTTCCTTCATCTAAAACCATATAGATTCAATATAAAATGCTGATTCATGAGAAACAATACATTAAATTATGGATTTAGCCTTTTGAAAGCTAAATTTAAAAGTAATTAACTCAATTAAAACCTTAATTTAGCCCATTGAAAGCTAAATTAAGGAATGAACATTTGAAAATCATTTTAAGAATAGAAAATATCAATTCCAATTAATTGAATCATACCAATTAAATCCATTAAGTTCAATAATTCCTAGTTTATTAAATTCAATTGTTATATACCACTTAAATTTAATTAATTCATGCCAATTAAATTTAAGCCTTTAAGTCAATTAATTCATTTAACCTTTTAGCAATTTTATTCACATCAAATTCAATTTAATTTCCTCATTTAATCCAATTACTTACCAACTTTATTAGTCTAACCATTTACTTAATTTATTAAACTTCAATTAAACTAAGCTAAACACATCCATTTATTTAATATTTAGAGTTAGTCTAGGAATACCATTACTTTACAAATCTTTTAGTGCTCAACCTAACACATATAATTATGTCCAAAATATATTATAAAAAGGAAAGAAAATTCTTCTCACTCAATCCTAATTATTAAGCACACTTGACGGCAAGTCAAACTTTGGCTCAACAGACGATCTTTAACTCGATTAACACCATCATTTAATACTTTTCCCACCTACACCACAAGAAAATAAAGATGAACAATGCTTAGTAAATATAGTCCATGCATGTAATGCACGCGATGCATTAAAAATTATTTTCATATCTTTTGAAATTCATTTTTCTCCTCGAGTGCATCTTGCTTATTGTGTATATAATCAGCTTTCTTTTAAAACATGCAATTTGTAAAAAATCATAAAAAGCACTAGACATGTTTCCTTTTCCTCATTCTTGCCTTTTAGAAAGAATCAATTTAAATGGCATTTTTTTTTTCCTTTTCATCACAAGAGGTTGATTATTTCTCTTTTACAATCATGCCATTTCCTTTTCTTTATTAAGGTGTCTAGCCATATCCTCCGAAAACATGTCCTTTTCTTTTTCCTTTTCATCAACATCATGAAATAAAACCTTTTTTCATGATAATGATATGAATGTGCATTTGATGAAATGTATTACCTTATCCTTTACCATGATCATGCAAGCATGATAAATTAAGTGTACATGTAACATAATTTTTCAAACATAAACATGTACTAAGTCATCAAAGTATGCAAAAATTAACATTGATCAAACAAACTTCAATAACCATCACTTAAAGTACTTGGCAAAAATTATTACAGAAATTCCTTTTTATGCAACTAAGCACACTTTAATTAATCACTAAAACACATTAATTCACATTTAAACATTACCATAAACATCCATGCACAAGAATTAGGCAATTAACCCCTTTTTGGTCGAATTTTCCATATTACCGAACAAGATGAATTCTTTCATTTAATCACTTATTTTCATTCTCAATCATTCCTTCTAAACCATAAAATACATTAACATAAACTAGTCCCATCACCTTTAAATCCTAGGGTTTGGCCGAATATGTTAACAATTAACTAATCCTAAAAATTCAACAATTTTCACATATTTAAACACATTCAATTCAATTATTAAACATTTAATTACCCAATTCCATCAACTAACTCAATTTATCTAAAACTTAAAATTATGGTCAAAATATCTAGTAAGGGTAATCAATTTTAGTTCTTCAATTCATCATTCCTAAACATACTTATTCTACCTAATGAACACTTCATCAACACAAATTATATAAATTAACATTTTCCCCAATTTTTAGCGTTTGGCTGAATCTTTGCCTTAAATTAATCAACTTCAATTTTTCAATTTAACATTAACTTAACCCTCTAACATCATAATCCATCCATCAAAAGCATGGTTTCACCACCAATTCGATAATGTCCCCGATCCAAAATCCTCCTTAAATATAAATATGTTGTAAGGATTTTTTTGTTTAATTAATAAAGGAATATTTAGATAAAGTGATTATTATGAAAAGTGAATGGATTAACTAAATGGTTAATTAGAGGTTTATAATATTAATTGATATGATTATGTGTTAACCTAGGGGTGAAATTGCAAAACCGTAGAGGTGTAATTGAGACAATTAAAAGTTTGAGTCCTTAAATAAAATAATTAGAAAAATTTAAGGACAACAATCTCTCTAGGAAAGGTCTAGAATAAGAGACAGATTGTGGAAAATTGTGAAGTTAAGGATTGGAATTGGAGGGACCGATAGCATGAATTAAAAGTTTAGGGACTAAAGTATAAAATGCAAGTGATTTGGGGATTAATTAATTCATTTTGGGAGGTTAATTCCAGCATGAATGATCTGGAAAAAATAAGGTAAAAGGGGGCTGGTTAGGTCGGCAAAAGGGTGGAGAAAGAAGAGGAAAATATCTAGAGAAAAGCCAAGAAAAAATCTAAGGAAAAAGGAGGAAGAAAAGAGAAAAATGAAAAAAAAAATCTAGAGAAGAAATTAATTGTCACGATTTAAGATCAAACCAAGTGTGATACATTTTTCTTAATCTTAAGAAAATAAACCTTGGCTATAAATACGGAAGACGAATATGGAAGAAGGGTTAGAAACTTTAGATGTTCAAGGTTACACCAAAGATAGAGTAAGCAAAACCAAGTGAAAATTCACTAAACCAACACTCCAAATCACATTTGACATCCTTGAAACACCATAAAACTACCTTAGAATTAGTTTAGAAGATCAAGCAAAGGAGGAGAAAAATTCTTCATTTGGGCCGAAAGTTAGAGGAGGAAGGAGGATGAAGAAATTCAAGCCAACTAAGTGAGGAATTGATCAAAACTTCAAGTGAGATAAGTGTATTCCTCACTACACCACAAGAAACCTATGATTTGATGTTTTTTTTATGCTTAATGGAGGTTTAAATATGTATGTTTTGACGAGTTTAATTGTTGAAGTTATTATATGATTGTTTGATTTAGATGGATTTGATGAAGGAATTATGTTTTTGGTGTTGTGATTAATATGTTTGAAGTTTGGTTAGCTTGATTGAATGAAATTTTGATGCTGTTACGTTCATCAAAATTTCTAGTCCAAACCCTAGCTGTTAGGAGAAATCATGATTTAGGTAAGTAACGTACACAAGATGTTTGATAGAATGAATTAGGCGTGTTTTGTGGTGTTAGATTGGAAAATACAGATTTGGCTATTTATATGGATAATTTCAGCCAAGCTAAGAAATTAGGTTAGTTGTTTTGATTAACCTAATTGATGAATAAATGTTTGATTAATGGGTTAGATATGAAAATTTGAGGTAAAATGAACAATTGGAAGTTAATCTTCCATTAGACAATATTCGGCTTAAAGTGAAGCAAAAAGGTAAAAGGAGTAACTTGAAATTTGATGATGTTTTCAAGGTTTAGAGGTATGAAATGGCATGAAAAATAGTTAATTACATGTTGAAAATGATTTGGTGAGGTTGCGTGATTAATTCAACCGTAATGCTTTTCTTAAGGAATTATTGATGTTTAAAGCTCATTTATTGTTTTATGCCTACTTTGCTAATTTAGGACATGTAATTGATCGATTTATTATGTTACATATTCATTGATGGTTAAATGTGCATGCTTTAGTTTAATTAGTACATGTTATGTTTGAAAATTTATTTACATGTACTTGATATGTTAAGCATGCTTGATAGAAGAAAATGTAAAAGAAAGGTAAAGGAACTCATTTCATTTAATGCATTTGCATATCATGACCATGAAAAGGATTTTACTTCATGGTTTTATGAAAAGAAAAAGAAAAAAGGACATGATTTCAAAAAGAAAATGGCTAGACACTTTTAAAAGGAAAAGGAAAAGGAAATGATATTATTATGCGAGAGGAATTGACCAACCTCTCATGAGGAAAAAGAAAAGGAATAGGATTCTTTTTGAAAGAGAAGAATGCCAAATGCCATTTATATTGTTCTTTCCAAAAGGAAAGAACGAGAAAAAGGAAAGGTGTCTAGTGTTTTTTTTTTTTGTGATTTTTCACAAATTGCATGTTTTAAAAGAGGATCAATTGTATATACAATCGACAAGGTACACTCGAGGAGGAAAATGAATTTTAAAAAGCATGAAAGTGATTTTAAAATTCATCACATGCACAAAATGCATTACATGCATTGCATGGATTACACGTAATGAGCAATGCTCACCTAGTTTTTTGTGGTGTAGGTGATAAAAAGATTAGAGGATAACCATCATCAAGGAGGAGAATCGATTGCCATAAAGTGTGCTTATTAAATAACAAGGGGTGAGGGAACTTTTCACTTACCTTTGGAATGTTTTAGACTTAGATATTAGTGCAAGGATAAGCATTTTTGATATGTAAATAATGGTATAATTACTTTAAATATTAGGTGGTATCTATGTGATTAGAATTGTCTAATTAAGTAACCTAATGAATTAAATGGTTATAATTGGTACCATTAATTAAGTGGTTAGGTTGAATTAATGGTTAAGGATTTAATGGTATGAAGTAAGGAATTAAATTGATGAGGAAAAAATAGTTTTAATGATTAATGGATTAAATAGAATTTAATAGATAGATAATAAATGAATTTAATGAAGTAGTTTAATTGGTAATTTTAAATTAATTGAAACCAAAGTTTCATAAGCCCAAAAATTATTTTGAATTGCCAATCCTCTAATGAAAGGTCTAATTGAATTTATTTAGTGTTCGGTTGAATTAATTAATTGAATTCTAACCTAGGGAATTTTATTAAATGTAATAGTATTAAATCAAGATTTAATGCTTTATTACTTAATGATTATTTTCCAATTAAATGAATTATATTATAATTAAATTGGTTTTGATGGAGAATATTGGAAATTTATTCTATTGAATTAATTGGATTATTTTTATATTGATTATCGTTTATTTTAATTAAAATCTAAATTTTTAAAAGGAATTTGGAAAAAATAAAGACATGGTTCATTTTAGTTTAATATAGGGTATTTTATTTAAATGATTAAATTAGATTCTAGGAATATGAGTTTTTGACCAAATTTTGATATTTAATATTTTTATATATGATGTAGGAATATTAATTATATATCTCTAAACTAACTCTAACAATTTGCTATGAATATTTTCTCTAACATTATAGAATCAGTTTCTTTGAAATAAAATAATTAAAAAAAAAACATAAAGGAACCACCCAATTATTTAAATATAGGTTTTTATGCTAGAATTGCTAATTATTTTGTAAATAAATATATATAGATAAAACATGTATGCTTTGAAAACATAATCTTCTCATTAACATTAGATAAAAGTCAAAGTTTATATTTTTTTTATTAATTAATTTTATATAATTCTATACATTAATTGTAACTTTATTTTTTTGATATATTCTTATGAAAAACTATATTTTAAAGTTTTTTTTTAATTCTTGATTAATCTTTTACTTTAAATGATATTTTTTTAAAAGAAGAAATTTATGAAAACATAAAAAAATAATTAAATAAAAAATTTAATTAAAATATTATAAAATTTTGAAATAATTTTGTTTTGTCAAGTCTCAGTAGTAGCGTGGATAACCAACTAGTTTATAACTAAAAAAACTAAATTTATAATTCAAATTGCCAAATTAAATTTAAAAAAAAAAAAAAAACTAAGAGATCCGAATGTGTGACTGTTCATTTATCGTAGCATTTTCTCTTTTTTTCTTTTTTCTTTTTTCTTTTTAGGGTTGTGCTATTGGCAATTGAGAAAAGAAAGAAGGATTGGTTTTCAGTTTCTACTATTCATCCATTGTAGCATTTCCTTTATTTTCTTAGGGCTGGCCTCCTTTTGTTTTTTTAAAGGTCAAGTTTGTCGGCAATTGAGAAAAGAAAGAATGATTGGTTTTCGATTTCTATATGTTCTCATATGGCAATTGTTCTCTTTCTATATAAATAATTTATTTTTTTATTTTTTTAATCATGAAATTAGGTGTGAAAATATAGAAAAAAAATTATTTTTTTTTAGTTTTACGTACGGTTAGACGGTAATAGAATATATATGAGATTTTTTAAGATTTTAGTTTAAACATATATATCCGATTATATTATTTTTATTAGTTTAAATTTATTTATTCAATTGTTTTTTTCTCATTAAAATTCTAATTGAGTTAATTTTTCAATTTTATATAATTTTATTTGTTAATAAATTTGATTTTTTTTGCATATGACTTTTGAAATATAATTTTAGAACATAATTTTTTTATTTTTTTAAATATATTATTATAATTTATACGATTGATTATTTTTATAATTTTTAATGAGAATAGCATAGTTGCATATATAAATTCGATGAGTGAGTGAGAGAGCTAAAAGTGTGGTTTAGATAATTTGACTTAATTTTTTTAAAAAATAATTTAACAGTTTTTTTAAAAAAATTAATAATTAGTAAAAAAAATCATAGGTTTTATTTGGTTATATATATATAATCGAATTTATCAAAACCAATTTTATAACAGTTTTTATTTAAATCTATTTACTTCGATATATTCCATGCGATTTAAATAGGTTTCTTATATATATTTTTTATTTATTTTATATACTTCGAATCTGCTAAGTACGATATATATATATATAGTTTCGTTAGAAATTAATTATATTTACACATATAATACCAATTATTTGTTGTTTATTTCTTTCATATTCTAAAATCTATATTTTTAAATAAAATAATTGAATTAATATTTTGAAAGAACTTCTTAATTATTCAAATACAAATTTTTATACTAACATTATAAATTATTTTGTTAATAAATATATATAAATTCGTTCAATATATAGATTCAATTTACATTAATCTCCGTAAACAAAACATTTACTTGCATTACACCATACGAATCGTTAATCATGTGTAGATAATGATTGTCTAACTGCAACATAACACAAGTATCTACCTAGTGTAATCTAAACAAACCTCTATAACAACAAAAGCACATCACAATAATCTCATAACATTTGATAACAACCGAATCATATAACAATAATCTCATAATATTTTATAACCAAAACTCATCTCGTAATGTCAGTCTACCATAACAATATGGATAAGCCCTTCTTGTCATATACAATGATACATTTGGATGCTATTGCTCTTCCACTCTTCTTGCTTAGACAGAAACCCAGAAACCAAAAACCACTTTGCCAACATGGCACTCAGAGAAAGTCTCAAACCAACATGGCACTCAGGTTGGCGATAATATTTCATTTCTTTTTTTTTTCTCCTTTTCCACATCTTTTCTAATCTTCCTTTCTTTCACGTCTACTTTTTCCCCTCCCTAAAACAGCTGAACTACAGCTACAGCTGAATCCAAGCTAAAATCAGCCAAATTCAACCTGCAAAATTAGGCAGTAGCTAGAGTCTGCCATAAACATGGATCTTACACCCAAGCAACAGAGCACGTCGTTGTCACCTCAAGACATGCATTTGTGATATCTTCTCTATTCACTGTAAATAATACCTCGTCTCATACTGAAAAATTGTGTGCCCAGAAGAGGGAGCACCATTTACTTCTGGCTTCTCTTGGCAATTGAACAGCTGCTTCAAACAACCGAAACAAAGAAAGTCTAGACAAAATGTCTCCACATATTCACAATCCTTAATGCAACATCCACAGCATGAGCACCGAGGTATACATAGAGTGCAAGCCCTACATAACTGATTAGCTTGATCTTTCCCTTGGCAACTCTCTGCTGGGCAATCATAAACTAGTTTCACTTTCTGACATTTAGGACACCTCTCGACATCAATTGCACGATCATCATCATCACAACAAGGATATAACTGGCCAACACGATGAAATTGTAGATTTTTGGCTCTTGGATGCATATGGCCAACGCCAAGCAAGGATTCCAATTCTTCAAACTGCTTCTCTGTTACACCAAAGAGCCCACCAATTCTTATGCGCTTAATTATTAGTGTGCCTGATGACTTGAGAGCCCTTAAATTAAACAAGATGCCGTCAATAGTGAGGTTCACACATCCTGGCACACACAACTGCATGAAAAATATAAATTTGTCATCATGAGCAGCAGTTTCAATCAAGCTGAAAATGTTATTTATTCCGGCGCTAATTTCAATCAAGCAAGCCATAACAAATTCTAAAGTAACTGTCTACCAATATAGCAGCAGTTTCACAAAAATGGTAACAGTAGAATAGATTTATTATCGGATATAAACAGGTTCACAAAAATGGTTGTTACAGGAGGTAAACTTAGCAAACATCACAGATATACTTGTCATAAAGTTGGTAATTATCCAAAAAGTGGCAAATCACAAAACTTTATATTTCATCTATATTTATTTTAGTAGCAAATGCTTAACATGATTATTAAAAAACAATTTAACAACATTGACATATACTAGTTAAGCACATAATTATAGTCATAATCCCTTGTCTTTAACACTTTCATAACACATAAATAGTTCTAGAATTCTGATGAAATAGAATTCTGATAAAATATTATCAATGTCCATGTAATGGTTTGGATACCCCAAAAACATTTTATAATACCTATAGTTTTTAATGAAATTCAGCTCGATTTTGATTAAGTTTCCAATTTAGTCTCATAGAATAGCCCCTCAAAATCAAAAGTACCTAATATACCCAACTCTTCCTCACCACCCTCATGAAATCTGGCTTCATCCCAATTAAACACTCGTGCAGACAACATTAAAGCATCAATGAGAGAGTCATCGAAGTGTACAAAAGTGCAAGTAAAAATAGTTGATTATATAGATTGATCCAAGAACAGAATTACACTAAGATACTGACCTTTGTCAACCTCGGATTGCTTTCAAGCACCTGCATCAACCCAGAATCGGTGATTCTTATGCACTCTCCTAGACTCAATGATTGCAGAGTACCTTGAGCCCTATTAGTTAACTTGAAAAGAGCTTCATTGGTGATTTTATCGCTTAAAGGCTGATCTATATGAATACTCCTCCACAGCAGAGTATCGCCTCTAACAGCAGCACACAAAGATCTGCAAACCTTTTCAACCATAAGGAGGTCCTTCACTCTTAAATAACCAAGAGCAAAAAACAAAGCATCGTGTGGTTCACCTCCCAATTCTGTCCCTTCCTCACAATCATCCCAATTGCTAATATTGGTTTCCGAATCAAAACCACCAGCATTCACCCCACAATCAACCCCAGATCCACTAAAACTATGATCTTGAGTCGACACCGCACTGATATTCAAATTACCCTTCTGTGGCTGCAACCCCCAAGCACCATTAAAAAACAAATCCAAACCCACAAAAACGCCATCATCAACCACACTTTTGTCATCCCCATTAGTCCCAAGTTCAGCAGGAGGTGACCCTAAATCCCCATCAAAATCTTCAAAACCACCAGCATTCACCCCACAATCAACCCCAGATCCACTAAAACTATGATCTTGAGTCGACACCGCACTGATATTCAAATTACCCTTCTGTGGCTGCAATCCCCAAGCACCATTAAAAAACAAATCCAAACCCACAAAAACGCCATCATCAACCACACTTTTGTCATCCCCATTAGTCCCAAGTTCAGCAGGAGGTGACCCTAAATCCCCATCAAAATCTTCAAAACCACCAGCATTCACCCCACAATCAACCCCAGATCCACTAAAACTATGATCTTGAGTCGACACCGCACTGATATTCAAGTTACCCTTTTGTGGCTGCAACCCCCAAGCATCATTAAAAAACAAATCCAAACCCACAACAACGTCATCATCAACCACACTTTTGTCATCCCCATTAGTCCCAAGTTCAGCAGGAGGAGACCCTAAATCCCCATCAAAATCTTCAAAACCACCAGCATTCACCCCACAATCAACCCCAGATCCACTAAAACTATGATCTTGAGTCGATACCGCACTGATATTCAAGTTACCCTTTTGTGGCTGCAACCCCCAAGCACTATTAAAAAACAAATCCAAACCCACAAAAACGCCATCATCAACCACACTTTTGTCATCCCCATTAGTCCCAAGTTCAGCAGGAGGATACCCTAAATCCCCATCAAAATCTTCAAATGAAGCAGTAAGTCTAGAAAACTTGATATCCATGCCAAAAGGGTCGGCAGGCAAACTATCAACAATATCATCAGAACCTACTTTAGTATTACATTCTTCAAATTCACCGTTTCTCTCTCCCTCATCATGGGTTTTCTCCATATTCATAATTAAAAAAAAACCGTACACTTACAAACCCAAATCCAAATACATCGAAACAAGCTAAATTAAGAAAAACCCTACAGAAAAAATTCGATATTTGCACATAAATAAATATATAAAGCAAAGAAGATAGATTGATTTTAAAATAACAACAAGAATAATCTATCTACTTGAGGAAGGTAGCATCAGAATGAATGTTTACGCGGTTGGAGTGAGGAAGAGCAAAGATCACCTCGTATTCAAAGAATTCAATAGAGAGAAACCAAGCGAAGCAGATTATTATGCAAGGAGATATCTAAAAAAGTTGGATCTATCTATCTGTATGAAGCCCCCAAAAAAACAAAAAAAAACAAAAACAGAGAGAGAGAGAAAGCGGCGAGGTAAGTTTCCTTCCGACCCTCAGCTATGAGGACGAGGGACCTCTTTTACCCCGTCTTTGCTTTCTATCGATTGGATTGTCAGCTCATTCACTTAACCTATTAGTCGAACTCTCATTTTTCTTTTTTATATTTTTATTATTATCAATAGAATTTAATGTTCCATTTAAATTATAAAATTTAATATTTTTGAGTTTGGTTCGCACAACATAAGAACAAAGGTTTTATTATCTTTTTACGACAAAAGTTGTAAGATTGTTGTTCTTGTTGAAAATAATATATGCATACGGACTTTATATATATATATATATGCTACAGAAAGACATTATATCAAGAAAAAAAAAATTGCAGTCCGTTTGATAATATACTTTAAAAAAAAAAAAAATCCTCATTCACACATACATTGCACGTGTATCAATAAATTTTTTTATAAGAATGTTAAAGTTAATTTTAATAAAACAAAATAAAAATCAATAAAATACTACATAGGAATAAAATTTGAACATTGTCACATTAACATTCTAGTTTTTACAAATCCTTATTTTAAAGACTTTATGCGAGAAAGATGTTAAAGATATAGATAGAAATAAAAAAATTTATTCTACCTTTTTAACTAAGGAGTTAGTAGAATTTGCTAAAAGATAGAAATATCCTTTCTTGTAAAGAGTCAAAGGCAACAAAAGAAATTAACCAAAAATCTCTTATAAAAAAATAATAACAAAGATCCAATTTAATAATTTATTTACTTGAAATGTAATTTTGTTTAGTTTTGGATTTTAATTATAAGTGGTATGTATACAAATTTTAAAAATATATATAGGCATGAAAACAAAATTATGAGTTATTTTGTTTGAAGGAGTCTTATCTTAATATTAAGAAACAAGGTGAAAATGAACAATAAAAATTTTATGAATATTTTCATGTAAAGGGGTCAAAGATAACACAAAAAAATAACTAAGGATTTCATATATGTTCGATCTAATTTGATTAATTTTGATTAAGTTTTGTTATTCTTCATATTTTAATTACTGATTTTTGATGACCTATTTTTAAGTATTTTTAGAATTTTAATAGTCAAAATAAAGTGCAATAAACTACTATATAGGTTAAGGGTGATTTAATTAAGAAGCGTATTTTATATTATTTAAGGTTTTATATGATGGTTAAATAGTCATGTAATGAAAAAAATAAAAAAAGATTAACCTATTTTTTAGAAATTATATTAATGTTTTAGTCTCTTTCTTAATTATAAATAAAATATAATTTATATATTAATATTGATATATATTTTGTATTGTTATATATACAAATTTAATAAATATTTTTAGAAGTCTTTTTAATTTTAGAATATTTTTAAGGTAAAAAAAATATATTTTTGGTATTTACTAATAAAATCCTCTTAGATAATTCTTAAAATTTAAAGGAGTGTTTATTGAATAAAATGTTTTGACACAGAGCTTGTGTGTGTATGTGCGTACGCGCGCGCATACGCGTGTGTGTGATTTGTGGTTAGTATAAGAGAAGAGGCAAAGCCAAGCTTCATATGTGTCGATAAGAGATTAACCTGAACATCATAGTAAGGATAAAAGGTTAACTTTAATCTGTTTTACATCAAGTGTTAAGCAAGTCTAGCTGCACATGAAGCAATCTTTAAGTCGTGGAGAAATCCATAATTAATAGTAATAAAGTGACTTAATTTATAGTTAGGCTACTATACAGCTCAGTTTGATCCATAATTAATAATAGTAAAGTGACTTAAAAAATTTTGTTAATTCTTTTTGTTTCAAAAATTGATCATTTTAGACCTGATATTTTAATTTTTTTTGTTTCAAAAATTGATTATTTTAGTCTTTATTTTTTAATTTTTTTTTGTAACTTAATTCTTTTTAGTCTTTTTAAATTTATTTTGATTTTTTTGTCTTAATAAATAGAAAACAAAAATAAGTCGAAGATATGAAAGGATATATATATATATATATATATATATATATATAAGGATGTAATTTAATAATTTCATTAATTTTGATAAAGTTTTGTTATTTTTTCATATTTAATTATTGACTTTTGTTGACATACTTTTAAGAATTTTTAGAGTTTTAATAGTGCAAATAAAGGATCAATAAGTTACTATATAGGTTAAGAGTGATTTAAGAAGCTTATTTTATATTATTTAAGGTTTTAATAATATTTAAATTGGCATATAATGAAAAAAAGAGATTAACCTATTGTTTTTAGAAATTATATTAATGTTATAGTCTCTTTTATAGTTAGAGATAGAATTGAATTTACATATTAGTATTGACATATATTTTGTATTGGGATATACACAAAATTAATAAATATTTCCTTTTATTTAGTGTAGAAGTCTTTTTAATTTTGACATTTAGAATATTTTTAAGATAAGACAATATATTTAGTATTTACCAATAAAGTTTTGTTAATGCGTATTTACTAATAAAATCCTTTTAAAACATGTGATAATTCTTAAAATTTAAAGATATTTTTGTTGAATCAAATGTTTCGATTTAGAGTTCTAGTGTGTGTGTGTGTTTGTACATTTACCGTAGTGGCCAAAGTTCATGTGTCAATAAAGAATTAATCTGACCATCATAATAAAAATAAAAGGTTAACTTTTTTCTTTTTTTCACATGAAGTATTAAACAAAACTAGCGATAAACAAGTCTAGTTATACAACAAGCAAAATTGAAGTCATGGAGAGATGATATTGCCTTAATTTCCATAATTAATAATAATAAAGTGACAAATTATATTGCCTTTTCAAAATTAGTTTCGATAGATACATACATTAAGATTAATTTTTTTTCAATTTATTATTTTTTAAGAAATAAAAAATGATATTTATTAAATAAAATATATTAAATTAAACGTTGTTAGCATTAGTCAATAGATTATATAATTAATTTAAAAAAAAAACCTACTTAGTTCGGTTGTCAAAAATTAAAGGATTAATTTATAATTTACGCATATCTCTTACCGTTAAATTAAAAACAAGAAAACAAAACTTATCATACACACGCACAGTGAACTAAGTGCTAGTTAATCATATACGTATATGGTTTGCTACATTATAAACTTACAAAATAATAAGAGTAAATAATTAAGAAAACCTGAACTTCAACAGTATACTTGTAATGAAATTATTCTCTTCCAATCACTTCAAGCAATTTTATTTCCTTATTTCCTCAAGTACTTATGATACACACCAACGGATACATATTCCGAGTGGAAAGCTGGTCAAGCTTACATATCAAAGCAAATTCTCTCGACAAGCTAAACTGAAGGCCGAAGTACATATCAAAGGTAGGATTTCATAACTACATATTATACTTGCATTACAAACGAGCTTTAGGGATACTCATCTTAGGGAAACTGCCCAGAGGATTATTCCACGCATGCTGCATTTCTATAATGTGGGAGGAATCCAGATATAGCCATGTGTTTGAACATAACCAGCTTTTGCCAAAAGCTCATCCGCTTTGACTGGACCTCGGCTGCCTGGTTGGTATTCCTCTGGCTTTATCTCACCATCGTCAATCCTATGCAGAAGGGGTGTGAAGATCTCCCATGCCGCCTGATGATTGAAATGAACAACCATCAGATTTTCAAATCCCATCTCAGTCGAGATATTTTACAAAGTTAAAACAAAATTTACCTTCAACTCATCTCTGCGAACAAAATGCTGCTGATCGCCCCTAATTCTGTAAAACCAAAACCAACACTTTGTTATCAGTTCTGTTATTGTTTTTGCAATACAATTGCTGTTATATCCTTGATTCTTAGCTTACGCTAACCCTTCTAAGCTCAATTGACTTGATGCATCTTTCTTCTGAACTCTCACAACAATAGTAGCACTAAAAGGTATTTTGTTAGAAACAAATGGCCAAAGGGCACAAGTCATACGTGTCAAGAATCAGACGTTCGTATGCCTCAGGGATGGCAACACCTTGATAACGTTGCATATATGACAAGTCCAGTTCACTTTGAACAGTAGACATCTCTAGTCCAGGCTGCTTGACCTGCATGAGTGACATAAAGAAACTCAGAGACTAGTACAAAGATAGCTGAAATTTACTTAGAGTTTAATCTCTTATTGAGTTTTTATGGCGTCTCAAGCATTCAGATTGTATATTCTTGAGAACCTTATACTCTGGTCTGTTTTTAGTTCACATCTAAAATTTTGGGGAACACATGGAAGGATAATTTTTCAGAAATGTCATGCAGAATCTCTTTAGCTCCAATTTCCCTTCTTAGTGGACAAAACATTCGTGCAATTTGATAAAGGAAAAGGCTTTGCATACAATTACCAAATTAAACACATACCGTAAGTTTCATGTACATGGCTTCCGAGGGTTGCAGGCGTATTACAAACTCATTTCTTCCTTGCTTTTGACCTACAAAATAAGACACAAGTCAAACTACAAGATGCTTACAGGGACCAAATGAAAGTATTTGGGAGCAGCAAATAAATTGATTATATAGGTAAAACAATTTTTATTAAAGAGAAAAATTAGTTTGACAAACACCATTATAACTTTTCAAATGAACCAGATTATAATATGTTTTCCTACGCTCAGAATCAAAATGAACCACAGAGAAAGTAGTGATGCAGAACTCTTAAGTTCCAGATACATACATCTGAATATATCACCAGGAACATCCTTAAATTGAACACGTATATCCGCCTTCCTTGAATTTAATGCTTTCCCTGCCTTTAGTATGAAAGGAACCCCTGAGAACCAAAGTATGGAAGAACAAATAAGAACAAACTATTTTACTTTGATCAACCTGATGTCTGAAGCATATCAAAGGTTCCAAATAGGAGATTCAGAAATTATTTTCCACTGAACTATGAGAATCTTTTATAGATACCGAAGTAAATGGACCCTAAAGTAAATATACCTTCCCATCTTTCATTATGTATTCTCAGGACAACTGTTGCAAATGTTGGGGTATTTGAGTGATCAGGAACTGTTGGGTCATCCCTGTAGCCTTGATACTGTCCAAGAACAACCTCTTCATCTTTGATTGGAAGTACTGATTGAAGAACCTGAATGTCACTGAGCAATCAGCCTTTGAAAGGAAAGGGTACTCTTAAGACTCAGAGCACCAAAATCTGAAGGAATAGATAATACCACAACAACAAAATAATTCTAAACTACAAACTTTGCTCTAAATAGACACCTAAGGGGATCAATAATTAGGGTTTTTCATCTCTCAAGGAACTAACATAGTGAAGCATTTGGTTTCATTATTATCATTGAAGGGGTTTCAGATTACAAATATCAGGCGATCATAAAATGTGATACTCTCAAAGCTAATTGAGTCAAAAGATGCTCACCTTCACTTTCTCATCCCGAATATGTTCAGGTTTGAGAGAAACGGGCTTCTCCATGGCAACCAGACAAAGAATCTGTGATAAGAAGAAAAATAAATAATAGATAAAACACAAACAAAACACCTTTCCCATCTCATATTTTCTCTTGCATGGAGCAGCTGGAGAATAAAAATATGCAACTTGCTCGAGAGCCCAAGTTTACATGAATACCTAAAAGATAAGTCTAAGTACAGGGGTGAGCTATTTCGATGACAGAACTAAATTCTAAAGTAGACAATATTTTTATATCTGAATGCTCCAGATAAATGCTTCTCCTATATGCAGGGGTTATTAAGACTCAAAAAAAGATGATGAAGCATATAATAGTCCAGAAGCCATGGCTTATACCTGTAATAAGTGATTTTGAATAATATCACGGATAATCCTGCAACAGAAAAACAAGATTAACACTTATTGCTTCTTGATTTCATAGTTATAAAACACCCAAATAACTCAACAATATAAATTCTCAGAAAACAAAAGGTTCCATAACCCAAAACCTCATTTTCAAGAAAACTTTTGCCCTCAATTTTGCTACAAGATATGGATCAAACACGAGAAGAAAAACTACTGCAAAGAATGCAAAAGTAAATATACTATGTATTATAACAGTATGAACACTGTTCAAAATATAAAAATTTGTGGTTTCTTGGCAAGAGATCCTGCTATATGGACTGCACAAGAAATTTGTGTTTACTGAGCTTACCCGTATTCATCAAAATATCCACCACGACCTTCAGTTCCAAAATCTTCCCGGAACACAATCTGGAAAAGCAACAAAGGATATGAAGATTGAAATTTATGACGCACTGATGCTTTTGATTAACAGATACTTTGGCAAAGAAGACTTTCATAAATCGATGTTCTGATATGATCATTGAAAATTGAAAGGCATAAATTCATAGCTAGGAGGAGTTTTCCAAGCCCTTAACTTATCAACTATCTATGTCATATCCCCATCATTAGCTTCTTTTTGTTTTTTTCTTTTTTGGGTCTAGCACACAATGACCAACAATGCTCACCTGTACATTGTCAATGTTATCACGATTCCAAAGTGGTAAAAAGAAGCGATTTGCAAAACGGAGTACTAGCTGCAAAATCCAAGCAACAGAAGGATTAAGAAGAGGTACCAACCTTGATGAACAATGACAGTTAAATTGCTATGTATCTTACCAAGTTCTGCACCAATTCTTTCCCCAAGTAGTGATCAATACGGTAAAGTTGTGGTTCCTCAAACAACTCTCCAATCTGGGCACTGAGTTTTTCCGCAGATTCCAAATCTTTGCCAAAAGGTTTCTCAATGACAATTCTAGTCCATCCACCAAGATCAGCTGGAAAGAATTGCAAGAGCAGCAGTCAATAAGAATAAAACTAGTAGTCTGGTCTGCAGCAACACTGGAAAGTTAACACAGCTACTTAAACTGGTGACTTTGTGAAGTCAAGCAAAACTTATCAAACCAAAGTGAATAAAACAAAATGGCAAGTTTAATTAGCTTTCCAGGATAAATGAAACAATGTTAAAAATGTAGGAACAAGAAAACATCAAGTCCTTTAGCGGGATAAACTGAAAGAAAAACATAAGATTCTCCATCTTTAGCAAATCCACTGCTGGCTGAGCATAACAATGGGGCATCCAGTTTTACCTGTCTGGAATGCAAGTTTTAAGAGCCCCTGAAGAGAAACATTCTAAAGCAAATGCAAGAAGGTCAGAAAAGGTAACTTAATTATCAGTGTCTGCACAAATATGTCAGTTCTCTTTTTTTTTTTCGTCTTTCCAAAAGTGGCTGTCAGGCAAATTTTTTTTTATCATCAACATGACTGAACCAAATGAATCCTCTTGTTGTACTTATTGTCTTCTTCCAAGAAATACTAGATGTATACGAGCAGTGTCTGGCTTTGTAAAGTAAATGACCAAAAAATGCTTCCATTCGTATTGGAAGCCCCAAAAGCAAATTGGGTCAGCAAAACTTACATTTATTCATGCAACACTTTCTGATCATTCTGCAGACAGGTGGATACACTGATGGGGGAAGTGCAAGATAAAATAGTCTTCGAGATGATCCTTCTGCACTATTTTTTGACACTTCATGCTCTGAAATTTCCTTATCCAATAGCTGAAAGCCATCCTCAGTATCATAAGAACCACTTACATATTTGATCTGCAAAGTCACAAAAGCTTTAATATCTTACTGGTGCATGCCAGAACAGACTGATAAAACAGAAAACAAAAAAACAACGCATAGAAAGAGCTAGACTAACCAGTTGCAAGAACTTTGTTACATCTTCAGAGTGCACCGAAGCATTTTTGTCAAGATATCTGCAATGATTGTTTAATGCCGATCAATTCCAATCATTTGCATTCAATATACTACTTAACAACCTTTAGCAAAAAATAAAATTGGCATAAACATATTACTGGATGGAAGTTTGAAAGAAGGAAGTATTTAGCACCATGGTCCAATGAAATGACAAAAATGGCAAAAAAAGAAAAAGAAGCAAAATGACATAAAAAAAAAGGCAAGATATCTCACCCACGGATTCGATTTCTAAGATCATCATCTGAAATCTTAGTCCTTGCATATCCAAAAATGTGAACTTCGTTTGAGTGCAGAAACCCCTGCCCAGCATCCCATAAAAAAGATCAATCAAACTTCTCGAGATTCACCAGAGATCAATCAATTATTATTGTCAAATTTAGAAAGCAAAAGGATGGCCTTCATTTACCCGGCGATAAAGATTGTAGAGAGCAGGGAAAGTCTTCTTCTTGGCTAGATCACCAGAAGCACCAAGAACAATAATTGAAAGGCACCCAGTTTCAGACACTGTCTCATATTCCTTAAATGAATCATTTTTTAAACTAGATCTTTTCTCTATCATCCATTGACCTGATCCCATATCTCTGATATATCAAGGTTTGCCTCCTTGCACAAGCACCACTTTTTCTGATCTGATTCAGTAACACAAAATTAATAGCTACAAATCGAGATACTAAAAACTTATTCTTATAGCCCAAGCAACTGAGGTTATGGGCTTTGACCAAACACCACTAAAATTCTGTTCCTTTCCTTGTTTTTATCGAAGAGAAAACGTAGTTTTACTATGAAAGAAATGAAACAAAAGGTTAGCTACCAAAAAAAGATCAAGCAAACCATTAGACACAAAATCTCTAGTGGTCTTCAATAAAAAAGAAAAAGGAATGCAAACCTGAAATGGGAATTGGGAAATGAATCAAATCTGACGAGATGCTGAGATCAGGAAGTGACAAGTTTGGGCCCAGATTTTGGTGTAACTCTTTCTCCTAATAATTCAAGGAGTTGGTGAGGAGATATTTATCAGATGATTCACAAAGGGACATCGAAAGAGGGTGTTTCTGTTTATATTTTAATATTTTGAAAAGTGGTTAAAATTTTTTTATTCTATTACAGGTAACTGCGTTGCTCGCCAAATTCTTGTTTTGTCACCAGCCGCCCTAGTCGACCAGTTCTAGTAAATTTTTACACCTCATGTTTTTTCAGTATTCAAACTTGTACCCACTTGTATACAAATTGTTTTGATTCTGCCCTTGTCAATGTCATATATATATATATATATATATATATATATATATATATATATATATATCTATCAATCTTTCCTTCTTTTATATACAACAAAATTAGATAATAGTGGAATAACTGAAAAGGTGAGTTAAATAATTAAAATTTTGGATAATGATTTTGACGACTCGTGTGTTTAAATTTTGGCAATGTAAATATCTTCTTCGGTACATTAACAAAACATAATGATAATAATTATGCTAGTAAGGAAAAATTATTGGTTGAAATCGCACCAAAATTTATGGTAAGTATTTCTTGAGAAATTTTTATATAAATATCATTGAAAGTAGATTTTTTTTTTAAAAAAAAAACATAATTCTTGATTGTGATATAAAAATTTTCAATACAACTAATACACAATCTACGAGATTATTATTTTCAAATAGATAATCGCAATTACATATAACAATCTAAGTATTATTTAACAAAGTTTTTATCCTAAAATTATGAAATTTGAGCTATTGACTTAATTAAAAATATATATATAGTTTATTGCAATTGGAAATGTGTAAAACAATAGTTAGGTAATTGAAAAACTCGAATGATCAAATATTATGATTAATATCATAGTATCGGTAGTTGTATGATAATCTTTTTCTTTTTTTTTTGTGCTAATAGAATTTTTAGGCGAATTTTACTCCAATATAAAAAATTTCATATATATAATTTTAAGTAAGTTATTTATATTCGAAAAATTTCTCTTAGTCGAGTATTAAATGAGTCATTTATGCATGAAATTATTCATTTATGAGAGTTTTTTTAATGTTTTTTTTTTAAGATTCGAATCTTAAATAATAATGTAGGAATCAACTCCATTTATTAATAAGCTAAGGGTCCAAAGAAGGATATGAGTGATGGTAGCAACAAAACATAAATTGTTTCTTGAGACGAAAAGTAAAATCTAGAAAGGTGAGTGACTAGCATGAAAATACAATAGTATAATACTATACGAATCATAACACCATTACAAAATTACGGTCTACCCAAGGATCAGGTGAATAATTGATAATTATGGCAAAACATATAATATCGGCAAAATCGACGGATCAAGAGTAATGCAATGGAGCTTTGACCACAAGCCACGTCATGGCTTTCGCTGTTCGTTACTCGTATCTCGCGGGATTTATGTGGGGTCCACATATATGCTCTTACGGGCTGCGGTTTGAAGAGACTTCGATTTATTTTTATAATTTTCGTTGAAAACAATATTTTATTACACAATTGGAAAACGTTTGGCTTCTTGGAATGTTTTTAAAAACACAGCTGAGCGGTATTTGGGAAGTTGATATCTAAAAGTTTTCGTTCATATACTCATTTAAGTAATCTCATCCAAAACATTAAAATAAATTCCAATCCATTTTATAAGACATTTAAACAGCAAATAATAGTAAATTTTTTTATTTCACTAGCTTAGAGATTGAAGCAAATTGTGATTAAAATTGTCTTTTATGACAAATTTGGTTTTATTTTAGAATCGGATGGAAGCACTTAATGAGTGTATGAATAAATAAGTAATTAGAGATAGAAATTAAAATAAATTATGAAAGTAAAGACATTGATCTATCAGTGTATTTATCTATCTAAACATAATACGAAAATGGAGTATAAGGGAGCTTAGTATTAATTTTAAACCAAAGCAGTTTTAAATATATTTTTTTCACAAGGCACTTTTAATTCTTTATTTCCAAAATAAGATACTCTTTTTTGTATGTTTGGTTTTTTCTTCGTTACATCCTTTTGTTTGGGTTGATGAGTAATGATGTTAAATATTGTCTTTTAGTCTACAAAATTATGGCATGCGTCCCATCCAAAAAATATATTTAATAGAAAATTTTTGAATTAGAAATTCGATAAAAATTACAAAAAAAAAAATTAAAATAAAATAAAAAATTGATAACATGCAAAAACAAAAATCATAATTATTTTCATGGAATATAGTGTGATATGAATTGAAAATTCAATAAAAGTTAAAAAAAAAAGTGAGAAAAAGGACATGAGTTTGTTTTAGAGTAAATTATAAATTAGTCCCTCTCTTTTCGAGAAAAGAATTAATTAGTCAACTTAGTTTAAAAACCTAATTATTTAATCATTTTAACCAATATTGATCATGATAAATTTAATATTTTTTATTTTATAAAATATATCATCTTCTCATCAATCTTTTCATAGTTTTTACTTATTTTTTTCTTTTCTATTTCTTAAATTGTTCTCATTTTTCATATATAATTTTTTATTGTATTTGTAGTTTAAATTGTACTATAGTTCAAAAAAATGCAATTTTTTCGGTTGTCATATTTTATTTTATGTCTACTTTTTCTAATTTTTATTGCATTTTCAATTGAATTTTTTTTCTATTGAATTGGATATGTGTCACAACTCTATAGACTTAAAGGTATTATTTATAACATTCTATTGGAGGGATCTAACGAAGAAAAAAACAAAACAATTGAGGATGACATTAATATAAAAAAAATAGAGGGATGTTTTAAACACAATCAAAAGTATAGAGACCCATATAAGCATTAACCCATTTCACGGCCTTATTTATTTAAGTTCTCACCAAACACAGCTTTGGCTTTATTTATTCTGACACTCCAGTCCCTCGCTTTATCAAAATTCATAACGGTCCCGTGGCTTTTCGAGTCCTCATACAGTTGAGAGCCACGTGGGGTATTTTCCAACCTTCCAACATTATTGATTATACTAGCAATATAAACAAAGACAGTAGTAGTTTAATCCTTAAGCCCGCTGTACAAAGCACTATGATTTTGTGGCAGTTGAACACGTTTTTCAACTATAATTTTGGATAGGTGGCATCTAACCATTTAAAAAAAAAACTAAAAAATATTTTTAAATTTTTTTCATATTAATCGAAATTAAATTATTCATATAATAATTTTTAAAAATATATATTCTTTCGTATCAATCAGATATATTTAAAAAAATAATTAATTCATTTAGATATTAATTCAAAAATTTAAATTAAAAAAACTAAAACATATTCTTAACTATGAAACCAATTTCTTAGATATCAGTACGTACCAACATCGAAATGCTTTGATGCGATTAGGAGATTTTGTTATTTTGTACCAGTTATTAGCTGAGATTGCCACTCAGTTCCACTGACATAGTGACACGTTACTAGAAATAAAGTATATATGACCAAAAAAACCTCACAGGCTAAGAAGGCACTCCACCCAAACTCAACGAATCACAGGGAGCCTAAAAGCACACAAGGAGGAGGAAAAAAGCTTGGGAGTTGGTTGGAGTTCGGTTGAAGATAGAAATAAAAGATGTGGGGGAAGAGCAAGCTTGGAGTTGGTTGGATATCTACTACTCGTCTCTGTTTTATGTGGTAGCCCTTTCCAAATTTCATTGTTGGAGTAGGAAGTTGAAGCATGCAAAAGAGCAGTCAAAATCGATCCAGTGCTCAAAGTCAAATTTTGGGTCCAAATTACGCCTTTCAAATGCTAATAATGACAGGTGGGAAAAATGGACATCTAAATATGGTACTTAAGGCAATTAATTAGTAAAAAAAATTTTAAAAAAAGTGAGTATCTTCAACGGTGAAAATCATTATTAATAGGCAATTTATTGTGATACATAACCACTAGGGATGTTATTTTTGTTATTTTGTACCAGTTAGTTAATCAATTCATGTAAATTCATATAAATATTAAGAGAAATTTTATAATTCACAAGGATTAATTAGTGACATGTACGGTTGTTATTCTTTGGGCTCATTTTGAGGAGAGAGATAGATATACAAAAAGAAAGGAAAAAAACAGACGAGAGAAAATAAAAAATTTGAGTGGACGTGAAAATTTTCTTATCACCTTTGATGGGTATGGATATAACTTTTCTTTTTTTTATGTGTCTATCTCTTTCCTTAAAGTTAGACTCTAAAGAATAACTACTGCATACGTACACTTGACTTACTCCTCGTGTATTATAAAATTTTCCTAGATACTAATTCAAAAGTTTAAATTCCAAAAAAAAAATAAATAAATCAAAACATATTCTTAACTACCAAACCAACTTTTTAGGTATCACTACCCACCAACATCGAAATGCTTTGATGCGATTCGGAGATTTTGTTATTTTGTACCAGTTAGTTACTGAGATGGCCACTCAATTCTACTGAAATAGCGACACGGTACTATAAATGAAGTGCATATGACCAAAAGTTTGGGCACTTTCACCCAAACTGAACGAATCACAGGGAACCTAAAAGCACATAAGAAGAAGCTAAAAAAGCATGGAGTGGGTTGGAGTTCGGCTGAAGATAGAAATAAACGA